GGTACATGTATAACACTGAAAGCCTATATTAGAAAATAAAAATCATCAAAGACATCAGCTTCCATCTTAAGAAATAGAAGAACAAGAACAAATAAAACTCAATGTAAGTAAAGAAAGGAGGACAATAAAGATCCTATCAAGAATCAATGAAAAATAAAACAGTAAAACAAGAAAGAAAATCAGTAAAACCCAAAACAAGACTGAACAGGGAAAAAAGAATAAAAGTCACAAATTCCAGTATCATGAATGAGAGTGATGATTCTACAGATTCTGCAGCCATTAAATGGATAATAGGGGACAACTTTATGACAATAAATTTAACAACTTAAGTGAAAGAGATAAATGTCTTGAAAGATACAAGCTATCAAAGCTCACTCAAAAAGAGAGAAATATCCTGAATAGCACTATAGCCATTAAAGAAATTGAATTCATAGCCAAAAACCTTCTCATAAAGAAAACTCCAGGCCAATATAGCTTCACGGATGAATTCTACCAAACATTTAAGGAAGAAATAATAACAATTTTGCACAAGCTCTTCCAGAAAATAGACAAGAAGGGGACACTTCTCAACTCATTTTTGAGGCCAGCATTACTCAGATATCAAAACCAGACAAAAAAATTACAAGAAAAAACTACAGATCAATACCTTTCATGAACATAGATGCAGATTGAAAAAACTTCAGCAAATCAAACCTAGCAATTTATAAGCTGTTGTCTGAAGAATGCAAGGCTGGTTTAACATTTGAAAATCAATCAGTGTAAATAATTATATTAACAGACTAAAAAATACACCATATGATCAACTCAATATATGCAGAAAAAGCATTTAGAAAATTCAATATCCATTCATAGTAGAAACTCAGCAGAGTAGGGATAGAAAGGCACTCTTTCAATCCGAAAAATGTCATCTACATCTAATATCATACTTAATGGTGAAAGATTTAATTCCTCTAAGATTACAAATAAGGAAAGTTGTCTGCTCTCGTTACTTCTATTCAACATTGCACTGGGGGTTTTATCTAGTGCAATAAAGCAAGAAAAAGTACTACAAGGCATCCAGATTGGAAAAGAAGTAAAACTCTTTTTATTTGCAGATGTCATGATTGTCTACATAGAAATCTTATGGAATCTATGATAGGCTACTAGAACAGTTAGTAAGCTTAGCAAGGTTGCAGGTTTCAAATTAACATACAAAAATAACTTCTTATCAATTTATATAGTAGCTACCACAACAGAGATTTGAATAAAAATATCACTTTCAGGGCTTCCCTGGTGGCGCAGTGGTTGAGAGTCTGCCTGCCGATGCAGGGGACGCGAGTTCGTGCCCCGGTCTGGGAAGATCCCACATGCCGCGGAGCGGCTGGGCCCGTGAGCCATGGCCGCTGGGCCTGCGCGTCCGGAGCCTGTGCTCCGCAACGGGAGAGGCCACAACAGTGAGAGGCCCGCGTACCGCAAAAAAAAAAAAAAAATTGTTAAAAAAAAATCACTTTCAAAAGCATCAAAAATATGAAATACTTAGGGATATATCTGACAAAATATGTGCAAGCCCTGCACACTAAAAACTATAAAACAAAGCTGAAAGAAACTAAAGATCTAAATTATTGGAGAGATATACCAGGTTCATGGGTTGAAAGATTCAATATTTTTAAGTCAAGTCTCCCCAAACTGATCTATAGATTCACATTAACCTCAGTCAAAACCCAGCAGCATTTTTTGTAGAAATTGACAAACTGATTTTAAAATTTATGTGGAAACGCGAAGAGGCTAGAACAGCCAAATCAACTTCGAAAATGAAGAATGATGCTGGAGAACTTATACTACCTGACTTGAAGATTTCTTACAGAGTTACAATATTCAATACAATGTGGTACTGGTGTCAAAAAAGACCAATAGAGCAACGTAATGGAGTAGAGACACAGAACCACAGCTCTGCCATGGAGCCCCAGCGACTTGCATGTATCCACACAGGCCATGCAAACAAAAGTTTGAACCACTGCTGACCTAAGTCTTGGCAGAGCGCCTTGTGATCCTCCAGAATGAAAGTCTTGTAAGGAGCTGCTACAAGACCATCGTCCACTCACCTCCCTATGGCCCCTGGGAGGCCGTCCTGAGATGTTTCTCATCACCTCCTGGGTTCTGATGAGGTTTGGGACTTCCTGCCTTGCCCCCCTCAGAGTAGAGCTGCAGACTGTAAAACCGCTCACCTGAAGTCTAGATTCGGGTGTTCTGTATCAGGGTATCCTGCAACTCACATTGCCATTGTCTGGCCCCTTTCGTTTGGGTGTTGTCCTTTGTGGTGTGTGGGACAAGGACCGTGCAGAATTGGTACTTCTGGCTATTACTCTTTTCACTGTTTATGTAAGCATTAAAAGTCCGAATCTAAGAGTGGCTCCGTGGATCTTTACCAGTTGAATCGGTCAGGCCTTGCCCTGTGTGTGTACTTGACAAGAGAGCCAGAAATAAACCCATACATATGTAGTCAGTTGATTTTCAACAGAAGTGCAAAGGCAAATCCATGCAGAAAGGAAAGGCTTTTTGACAAATGGATATCCACATGCAGAGAAAAAAATAGCTTCAATCCATACCTCACACCATATTCAGATATTAACTCAAAATGGGCCACAGACTTAAATGTAACATATAAAATTATTTAAAAAATTTTAGAGGAAAACATAGGAGGAAATGTTTGTGGCCATGGTTGGGCAAAGATTTTTTTTTTTTAAAGATAAAATAACCCAACACAATCCCTAAAAGAAAAAAAATGATCAGCTGGATGCCACCAAAAGCAAGAACTTCTGTTCTCCAAAAACACTTTTAAGGAAAGAAAATATAACCCAGAAACTGGGAGATAATATTTATAAATCGCATGCCTGACAAGGGACTTGTATCCAGAATATATAGAGAAATCTCAAAATTTAAGAAGAAAACAAACAACCCAATATTTTAAAAGGGCACAAGATTTGAACAGGCACTTCACCAAAGAAGATAAATGGATGGCAAATAAGTACATGAGAAGATGCCCAACATCACTTGTCATCGGGGGGATGCAAATCAAAACTACAGTGGAATATTCCTAAGTACCTAAAGAATGTCTACAGCTAAAGAGTGACCATACCAAGTATTGGAGAGGATGGGAAGCATCTAGAACATTCATATATTGCTGGTGGGAATGTAAAATGGTAGATCCAATTTGGAAGGTCATTTCCTAAAAGATTATCTTTTAGTCATATCATGTGACACAGCTCTGCCTAGGTATTTATCCAGGAGAAACGAAAGCATATACCCAGAAAAAGGCTGGTACACAAATGTTCATAGCGACTTTGTTTGTAACAGCCCCAAGCCTGAAACAGTCAAGTGTCTTTCAACATATGAGTGGATAGATAAGTTGTGTTATTCTCTACCCTGGAATATCACTCAGCAATGAAGAGGGGTGAATGATGGATACACACAACAGTATGACAGCTCTCAAAGTATTGGGATTGACACGTACACACTGTTCTACTTAAAATAGATAACCAACAAGGACCTACTGCATAGCACAGGAACTCTGCTCAATATTCTGTAATAACCTAAATGGGAAAAGAATTTGAAGAAAGAATAGATACATGTATATGTTGAACTGAATCACTCTGCTGCACCCCTGAAAGTAACACAACACAGTTAATCGACTACGCTCCAATATAAAATGAAAATAAAAATATAATATATGCTTCAAAGCAAATCTTAAAGTAATATTGCTGCATGAAAGAAGCCAGACAAAAGAGACTACATTCCATTCACATAAAATTCTAGTAAATTCAGACTAAACTATAGTGACCAAAAGCAGATGAGTGGGAAATTGGAGGAGCGGGAGGGAGAGATTACAATGGGGCAAGGGAACCTTTTGCTGGTGATGGCTGGGTTCACTATCTTGATTATAGGGATGGTTTCATGAGTGCATGCCTGTGTCCAAATTTATCAGATTGTATACTTTAAGCATGCGCAGTTTACTATATGCAATTACAACGCAGTAAAGCTGCTTTTGAAAAATATATTGTTTTCAGTCACTTTCCTTCAAGACTCCTGGTGGTCCACGTGCCTTTCTGAGTCCCTGCTCCACGTGACATTGGTAGGCGGTGCCCCTCCGCCTTGGTCCCTGAGAGCCCAGTAGTCCTGCCTGCCTGCGCTTGACATGGTGATTTTATTTAATCGTCATCACAGAGACAGAGGCCAAGAAATTTTAATTCCAAGAACAGGGACTAAAAGAAATGTCAAGATGACACAACGCAAGCTGGGCCCCCGGAACAGAAATCCTATGCAATGACGCGGAGGGCCCCCGCCGTCTCTCCCAGGACCTACTGGACCCCGAGGGGACAGACCCTCCGCAAGGACAGCCGCGAGGCTGGACCCGGCACCATCAGAACTTCCAGAACCCCGGCACCTGGGAGGGGGTGGGCCCCGAAAATGCGGGCGCAGCTCGGCTGTCTTGTGGGACGCCGAAGCCGCGCCCGAGGAGCTAACCATTTATGTCACACTGTGACAATTATTCTGCATAAAATTATCATTAAAACCACTAATTTTTCAGCCTCCAACCCCGCCAGTGGCCTTTTAGCATTCTCCAGCGCCGGCGTCTGCGGGCCGGTGATCACCGGCTCATTACCTCCGTGTGGCGCCTGCCCCCCCCGCGCTCGCAATCAAGCGCTAATTAAGCCGGCGCGGGGCCCGGGCTGGGGCCGAGGCCCGGGCGGGGGGCCCGGTGGCCTCCAAGGGGCTCTGACGGACGTGGCCGAGACCTCCCGGGTCTGGGTCCCGGTCCGGGCGGGGTCAGGCGGCGGGCGGGGCCGAGGCCGAGGGTCTGGGGGCGGGGCCTGCGGGGGTGGACTTGGGGGCGGAGCTTGGAGCGGTGACGCAGGCCTGGTCCGGGGTCTGAGTGGGGTCGGGGCGTTGAGGGCGTCCGGGGGCAGGGTCAGGGGTCGGGGGTCGAGGGTCGGGTGGGTGGCCGGGGCCGCCCGGCTCCTTACCCCAGCGAGGCGGCCGTGCGGCAGAGGTGCAGGGGCGCCAGGCCGTCGGCGCTGAGCAGGTCGGGGTCGGCGCGATGCTGCAGCAGCAGCTGGGTGCAGGCCGTGTGGCCCCCCTGGCAGGCCTCGTGCAGGGCGCCGCGGCCGCCGGGGCTGGCGTCGGGGTCCGCGCCGCGGCTGAGCAGGTGGCGCACGCAGGCCGTGTGGCCCCGGGCCGCCGCGATGCACAGGGGCGTGGTGAGCTCGCGCTTGTACTCCAGGGTCCAGAGGCCTGGGGGTGGAGGGGAGGTGGGGAGAGGTCAGGTGAGTCGGGGGACCCTGGTGGGGAGCGGTGTCCATTAAGACTGAAATAGGGTGAAACCATCTCTTAGAAGTAGGTACCAGGTGGGCACGTAGGGAGATACACAAAGATGCTCAGGGTTCGGGACAGAGAGACCCAGTGAGGTGCAACTGGATCAGGGATGAGGGATGGAGGGAGGCCTGGGGGTAGAGGTGAAAGGGCCCTGACAGAGAGGGGCAGAGAGGTAGCAAGGGAAAGAAGTGTAGGAAGAGGGGGGAAAGAGAGCAACAGCACACAGGGCAGAGACACACTGGAAAGACAGAGATGAAGCAGGGAGAGAAGAAATACAAAGGAGAGATTGGGGTGGGCGGTTATTGAGAAGCACGAGGGTTTTGCGAAATATGAGGGTAACTTGGGTAAGATTTGAGGAGTTAAAAGCTGAACAAGCAGGGTGGACAGTGGGAGAATTTACGTGAGGAATTCACATTTTCCAGACTCTGAATTAGGGGCAGCTTGAGGGAGGAAAGTGAGCTGTGGATTTTTCTGGAATCCAAGCCCTCTCTTTTCGAGCCCCGAATTTACCCCTTTATCATTAAGAGGAGAAGACAACAGACAAAACAAACTGACCCCCATCACCAAGGTTGCTCGAGAAAAGGACTCGGAAAGTTTAGTTGTCTTGGAAGTGGCCGGGTTTCAGAAGCACCCTTTGATGTGGTGGTCTGCATTGAGCACAATTCTGGTTTGTTCCTTTGCGCTCTTTAGGGTTTTGTGTGTGTGTGTGTGTGTGTGTGTGTGTGTGTGTGTAGGGTTGCTCTTTCTTGAGGGATGAATGGAGCAGGAACTATACATTTCACTTCTCTGAAAACTTTGGGCTTTCAAAAGGCCTGTGGAAGGTTGTTAGCAGCTATGGGCACTCCTGGAAATGGGGGAGAGCTGTCCCTGGTGAATACACTTCAAGGGACAGGATTTCACATGGCAGGGATGCCTTCTGATAATGATGGAAGAATCGATACTGTGGCTGTAATGAGCTGTGGAGGAGACCCTTTTCACAGGCCACCTCCTTCCCGGGACCCATGCTGAGCAGTTTGAAAGACCACTCGTAATTACGTACCTCCATGCAGCGCACGGTTCCAGCCCGCCCCGCGTCCCCAAGGCCCAGCCTGGAGGTTGTGCATGCTCGGTGGGGGAAGAGGGGGCCTGTCGTCCTGGTGGTGGGTGATGGTGGCTGGAGGCCCTGCGGATGTGGGCCTGCATGGGTTTGAGCTGCCCTGCCCAGTGAAGACTGGGTCTGATTTGAGGGGCATGATGGATATGACTGTAACAGTGACCTACATTCTTGTAGGGGCAGCTCCTGGTTGTTGATTCTACTCATTTTCCTGAGATAGGAAGTTTACTTACTGCAGGTCAAGGAAGGGGGTACTCCATTTTCTAGGGCATGCTAAATTCCCACCATCAGCAGCTTTGTTCACCCACCCAAGATTCCCAAGTCTTCCCCTGGACTGATGGGAAGGGGCCTTGGCTGGGCATTTAGCTCAGCCATAGCTTAGGGCCAGCCCCCTTCCCCAGGTCCCTGGAGATGGTGATGAGCTTCTATCAGGCCTTGCAGAGAATCCCGTTCAAAGGCAGCTCTCTCATTCAGTAAACCTGAATCATCAATCAGCTTCCTGTAAATCGCACCCTTGGTCCAGGTTCTGCCACCAGGAAGAGCACAGAAGCAGGCTTCTCCCCACGTGATACCTCCCTCTAAACATCCACTCCTCCATGCTAATGCTTTCCTGGCACTGCGAGCTTGATGGGGCCAGCATTCCATCGTGGATGTGGTAACCAGGAGCCAGCCACTATGAACCTGTGTATCCCCTTCCCCATGGCTCCCTTCAGGAGGAGCTGAATTGGCCTCCAGGAAGTCCTCGTATGAGTGAGGGCAGTGTCGGGGCCACTGTTCTCAGCCCGGGTTTGGTCATTTCTGCTACTGGACCAGCTGGGAGAATTCAGGTGGCTGAGATGAAAGAGCACAGACTCCAGAAGTGTCCATCCTCTCTTCCCAGCCTGCACTGAGGCCTCAGGCCAGCACTAACTCCCAGGGCTGCCCTTTTGCTCGGTAATATCTCAGGTCCCTTCACTGCCACAATGCTCTAATCTCCTGTCGTACAGATGTGCCATAGAAAAACAGCAAACTTAGGGGTGGAAAGATTGAGGGGGAAAACAGGACGGAGGCTTTGATTCAGACCATGAACTGACATTAATATCTATCAATGCAACATTTGAGTGTGTGTGTGTCCAGGGCTGCGAGGCATGCGATTAAAAAAAACATTAATCGAACATTCAAGCTGTTGGCATTCTTGGTTGAATGGTCACACAGCCCTCTGGAGGAAGATGTGTGCCCCATCTGGGACAGGTAAGGGAGAGGAGACCCAAAAAGGCTCTGGGATGCCTTTGGCTGGGAGGGGTTTTGGCCCAGACTAGACCTGCGTGTGCCTTCCCCGCAGCCTCTGCCGCCTCGCTGGTGGCTCTGAGCTGCTCAGCCCTTTGGCAGGGTTTGGGTTTATTCCCTTCTCCCTGTGTGAGGTGTACACAGACTGGATCAGTGCTTTGGCAACCGCCCTTCCTCATTCTTGGCCTGCCAGAGATCACAAGTCAGGGCCACGGGGCACTGGCCATTGGCCCACTGACCACAGAGTCTGAAATCCTCACAGGTTCCAACACATGAACCCTCTCGGTAAACATGTGGCATCGGGATGCACGGGAGGAAGGGTGCCCAAGGCAGAGTGCCAGCCAAGGGGGTCACACTGCAGCCTGATGGTCAGAAGGTCTGTTCATCCCAGATGGGGTGAGGGGACTTCTCTCTACCTGGGGGTATGTTTGCCTGCCCGGCACATAGCGACAGTGTCCAGGCGGCAAGAATGCAGACATATACAACTTAAGGACCTCTGGTTTCTCCCCCTCCTTCCCCTTCCCAGGCTCCCCTGGGTTCCAGGAGGAGCGTCTCCCGAGAGCTGTCCCTCCACGACGCTGGCTGTGTCCCAGCTTCCCCGCTGGAGCCGTGGTGCTCACGGATTCACAGAGGAAACTAGCCCACGGCTTCTCGCCAGGGGCCCGCTCCGGGCGCACTCAAAGGAGAGGCTGTACTTTATCTCTGCCTCCCTGGCTGCTGGATCCAGGCTCTGGCAGATCAGCATTCAAACCAAAGCTCTTTTTGAAGACAAGAGGCACCTCCAGCGTGGGAAGGGGCCTTCTCACCAACAGCTTGGCCTTTCCAATTTGATCTCTCTCATCTCTCACCTAAAAGCTACATCTTAGGGCTTGGCGCAGTGGTTGAGAGTCCACCTGCCGATGCAGGGGACACGGGTTCGTGCCCCGGTCTGGGAAGATCCCACATGCCGCGGAGCGGCTGGGCCCGTGAGCCATGGCCGCTGAGCCTGCGCGTCCAGAGCCTGTGCTCCGCAACGGGAGAGGCCACAGCAGTGAGAGGCCCGCGTATCGCAAAAAACAAAACAAAACAGAAACTACTTCTTAAAAATCATGCACGCAAAGTTTGGCTTCTAGATGTCTTTTGCTCAAGTATGTTAAATGCAGCACCCATGTGAGCAGTCTACACACTGGAGCTATATGTTCAGAGGTGTGTTAGTAGCTCCTTAAAAAAATAAATAACAGGGCTTTAAAGGAGGAAGGGTACCTGACGGTCCAAACGTGGCCGGGGATTTCACCTGCCACTCCATCTCATCCTTCTTGATCTCAAACACCACGTTGGCGTCCTGGAAGAACTGGTCCATGAGGAGCTTAAGACGGTCCAGGTCTCCTGTGACCAAGGCAGCATGGTACTCGAGCACTGGCCACCCAGCTCTTGCTTGAGGCTCTTTTCCCATCTTCTGAAAGATCTGAAGTTTCCCTGTAACTGGCTCTGGCTGTCTCTTCATTGCAATGCCGATGGTCTCAGAAAAGTTCTCCAGGAAGGGGAAAGATGGTCTTATGGAGTGTGAGCTATTTCTATTGTTATTACTCAATTGTCATCCAGTTGGGGCTCGGGTGATGGTGTATTTTTAACTCCTGTGGGCTCTGATGTGATAATGGTTACTTGATATGGCCAGCATCACGTGACCACTAATATGCCAAAGAGCTCAGCCACCCTTGTGATTGTATAGATGTAAACTCTAGAGACAGGCACATCTGTATGTCTTCCAAACAGCTCTCCGCATGACAAGGGCAGACAGCCTAAAGTAGGCAGGGCTCCTCTTTCCCGCTCTGTAGCGTGTCTTCTTGCTTTTATCCCGTCCGCTTCCTTAGCTGCTGTTACCAGTGGTGAATGGATGTGTGTTCTGAGGTCTGTGTCAGCCCCGAGGCTGTGTGAGGGAGGCCCAGCTGGACACTGCAAATGACCGGGCTCTGCACAAGTGTCCCCACGTGGGAGGCTCCGTAGTAGGACACACCAGGGATTCCCAAAGGCATCATCTGGGGCCCCAGGTGGCTTGTGAGATTCTTCCAGTTGTTGAGAACTGATCCCAAAATGCGCATCCCTTGCTGAAGATGAGAGATGCCACAATTTTTTTTTTTTAATGGATGGTAACAGTTCTTTATTAGTAACTTACTAGCTACTTGCTACACTGTAGTTCAGGGCTTTATTTTATTGTCTAAAAATTAATAAAGTCGAAAAATAGAGTTACCATATGATCCAGCAATCCCACTCCTGGGCATATATCCAGAAAAGATGAAAACTCTAATTTGAAAAGATACATGCACCCCTATGTTCATAGTAGCACTATTTACAATAGCCAAGACATGGAAACAACGTCCATCGACAGATGAGTGGATAAAGAAGATGTGATCTATCTATCATCTATCTATCTATCTATCTATCTAACTATCTATGTATTTATCTATCTATCTATCTATCATGGAATATCACTCAGCCATAGAAAAGAAGGAAATCATGCCATTTGCAGCAACATAGATGGATCTAGAGATTATCATACTAAGTGAAGTAAGTCAGACAGAGAAAGACAAATATGATATCACTTATATGTAGAATCTAAAAAAATGATAAAGATGAACTTATTTACGAAACAGAAATAGACTCGCACACATAGAAAATAAACTTATGGTGACCAAAGGGGAAAGTGGGGGAGGGAGGGATAAATTGCGAATTTGGGATTAATAGATACACACTACTATATATAAAATAGATAAACAACAAGGACTTACTATAGTACAGGGAACTATGTTCAATATCTTGTAATAACCTATAATGGAAAAGAATCTGAAAAAGAATATATATATTCATATATATATATAAAACTGAGTCAATTTGCTGTACACCTGAATCATTGTAAATCAACTATACTTCAATGGAAAGTTTTTTAAAAAAATTAATAAGGTCACTGTTTTCTTATAACATAGATAAAACACAATTCTCATATATTTTTTCCAATTCTTGTTTTTCCCCTGCTAGGAAGCTGGGATGGGCCAGTGCAGTTGGCTGACAGGATCCTGTGCCACGTCTATGTGACTTACAATAAAAAATGTGACCAGAGGCTAGAGGGAGGAAGGAGAGTCGGGAGGGCACTGCCTGGACCAGCAAAGGGGGTGGAACATGTGCCCAGGAGAGTTAGGCACAGAGGCTCCGGGGGAGGGAGGTGTGAGTATCAGCAGCCACCATCCTCTCAGTGCCAGCAGTAGCCCAGGGATCGTGGGATCCATTGCTATGTGGTGTTGCAGTCAAACAGCATAGAGACAGCAGGAGAAAAGACCTGACGTCAAGGATTAGGGCTCACAAGGCAGCACCTCTTTAGTCAGAGCTGCACTTCGTAAGCACCCTCTTTTCCCATGCCCCTCTCGCTCACCCTCATTCACTCCCCAAAGCTGCCCCCTGACCACCCCCTGCCTCTCTCTAAGTCCCTCTAAAGCCTGAGCAGGATCTCTCAGAGTAATCTGGCCCCTGGGGCGCCCCTTTCATTGAGATTTTCCACAAAGGGGGGGACCCAGCAGAATACTCTTGACCTTTCTTAGCAAGGCTTGCAGTAAAGAGTGGAGGGGAGATTGGATGCACTTATAATTTAATAGAGATGTTTTACTCTCATCATAGACCTGATTTGCAGGCATAACTGTATTACACGGGCTGACCCAAGGCCTGGAGCTTCCCCCAAATGGTAAAGCCCACATCTTCTCTACAGAAGGGGGTTGCAGGGTGCTGGGATGGGAGAGGTGTAGCCTCTGCTCCTCTGTGATGCTTTGTGCAGGCGGATAAGTGGTGTTGACAGTGCCTCAAAGGCTGAAGGGCTCACGTTGGTGAAGATAGTGTAGGGGCTGGGGGTGTCCCAGAGCACTGCTGAGTGCTATGGAAAATGCAGTGGTAAAGATTATGCAGACCATGTTTGCAAGGAGCATGCAGCCTTTATCAGACGCAAGCGACAAGAGCTTATGGAGAATGACAAACAGTAACACTACGGAGACCATTTCCTTTCTGGAACGTCCACTAGAATAAAGTCATCTACTCTTCCCTCTTCATTTCCATATTATGTCATTGCTCTATTCATTTCAGTAGCAATATTAATTCTTTAGGTATTTCGTTTCTTTAAACATAGCCTTTCTGCCCTGTTATTTTCTCAGACTGATAGCTTGTAATTAGATACATTTCTGAAAGACTTTTCATATGCAACTATAATCCAGGATCCAACTGGAGCCTGTACTTTAAACTGGAGCATTCTTTTGTACCTGATACATGTTGTCATGGGCTATTTTTAAAAGGGGTGGGACCCTGGAGGTGAGTCCAGGGATAAGAGCCATGCCACCCTGTGTTCTATGCTAAATTTAGCTTTCCAAGTGTTATATTTGTCAACAGCACCCTAAATACTCAAGCTTGATTTCAGTGGGTATGGGGTAGTAGTCCAGAAACAGACTTGGTTCCTTGTGAGAGCTTTAAAAATAGCTTACGGTAGACAGAATTGGTTTCACGAGTAGGACATGGAGATTAGTTCTACACGGCAGCATGGCAGAGTTGTTGTTTTAAAGAACAAGAAGAGCTGTATGTGTGACTCTTACATTAAAAAAAAGCCAAGCAAAATAAAAACAAAACCAAGGAAACCCCCACAAATGGCTGAAAGTCAATCCATTCATTCACCTATTTATTCAATAATCATTTGTGTAATATTATGTTGTAGGGTGTGCTGTTAGGTTTGGGGGATTCAGAGACAAAAAATATACACATTTACTCTCAGGGAACACATAGAGTCCTGGCCACAGCAATTAGTCAAGAAAAAGAAATAAAAGGCATTCAAATTGGAAAGGAAGAAGTAAAACTGTCACTATTTGCAAATGACATGATACTATATACAGGAGAGCCCAAAGACTCTTCCAAAAATTGCTAGAACTAATAAAAGAATTCAATAAAGTTGCAGGATACAAAATTAATATATAGAAACCTGTTGCATCTCTATTCACTTAATAATGAACTATCAGAAAGACAAATGAAGAAAACAATCCCATTTACATTTGCATCAGAAAGAATAAACTTACCTCAGGAGGTAAAAGACCTGTACTCAGAAAACTGTAAGGCATTGAGGAAAGAAATTGAAGGTTACACAAACAAATGGAGAGATATTTGGTGCTCATGGATTAGAAGAATCAATATCATTGAAATGTTCTACTACCCAAAGCAATCTATAGATTCAATGCAAACCACATGAAAATACCAATGGCATTTTCCACAGAACTAGAAAAAATAATCTTAAAATTTGTATGGAACCACAAAAGACCTCAAACAGCCAAAGCAATCTTGAGGAAGAAGAACAAAGCTGGAGATATCACACTCTCAGACTTGAAGCTATACTACAAAACTATAGTAATTAAAACAGTATGGTACTGGCACAAAAATAGACACATAGATCAGTGGAACAGAATAGAGACCCCAGAAATAAACACATATGGTCAATTAATCTACAACAAGGGATGCAAGAATATATGATGGAGAAACGTCTCTTCAATAAATGATGTTGGGAAAACTGGACAGCTACATGGAGAAGAATGAAACTGGACCACTCTCTTACACCATACACAAAAATAAACTCAAAATTGATTAAAGACTTAAATATGACTTGAAGCCATAAAACTTCTAAAAGAAAACATAGGCAGTAACCTCTTTGACATCAGTCTTAGCAATATGTTTTTTGGATATGTCTCCTAAGGCAAGGGTAACAAAAGCAAAAACAAACAAATGGGGCCAATTCAAACTACAAAACTTTTGCACAGTGAAGAAAACCATCAACAAAACAAAAAGGCAACCTACTAAATGGAAGAAGATATTTGCCAATGATATGTCTGGCAAGAAGTTAACATCCAAAATATATTAAAAATGCATACAACTCAATATCAAGAAAACAAACAGTCCAATTAAAATATGGGCAGGGGACCTGAACAGGCATTTTTCCAAAGAAGACATACTGATGGCCAACAGACACATGAAAAGATGCTCAACATCATTAATCATCATGGAAATTCAAATCAAAACCACCATGAGATACCACCTCACACTTGTCAGAATGGCTATCACCAAAAAAGATCACAAATAACAAATGTTAATGAGTACATGGAGAAAAGGGAACCCTTGTGCACTGTTGGTAGGGATGTAAACTGGTGCAGCCACTATGGAAAACTGTATGGAGCTAAAAATAGAACTACCATATGATCCAGCAATTCCACTTCTAGGTATTTATCTGAAGGAAAAAACCCCGCATTAATTAGAAAAGATATATGTACCTCTATGTTCATTGCTGCACTATTTGCAACAGTCAAGATATGGAAGGAACT